TGTGATAATTCAAAATTCTTCTAATGATTCACAACCAAAAGAAATTTTTCACAAATTTTCATAATACGTGTAGTTCAATTCCAAATTTCGCGAGCTATGCAAAGCTATACAGATTCATAAAAATTATAAGCTCACCTGAGATTTCTTTTACAACAGTGTCAGTGAGTCCATCATTGCTTTCCCGTGATCTGGATCAGTTGGTGAACGCTCCTATTTTATGGTGACTTTGTAATAAACGAATTTTGCAGGACTTGTCATTTACTGTTGAACCTGGCGAGACCGTGGCACTCGTAGGACCATCTGGCTCTGGAAAGTCATCTTGCATAGCTCTGCTAGAGAACTTTTATCAACCAAATGCTGGTCAAGTGCTTGTAGATGGTGTGCCGTTGGAAGATTATGAACATCACTACATTCACAGAAAGGTAAACAATAGTTAAGGTACAAGGTTGCTGGATTACAAATTTACAGATCGCACTCGTCGGGCAGGAACCTGTACTTTTTGCCCGATCAGTCACTGAGAACATTCGCTATGGCGTCGATGTCATGGAAGCGGTAAGCACTACCCAAACAAGATAACCCCAAATAAGTTACGAGTGGATATTATAAGGACGTGGTCAACGCCGCTGAGATGGCAAATGCACACGGTTTTATCATGCAGACCACCCACAAATATGAGACGAATGTTGGCGAAAAAGGAAGTCAGATGTCTGGTAAGAATCTAAGAACTTTTTTATCCTTCAAACAAGTCGAGATTAGACAATGGCTGTTTTCAGGTGGACAAAAGCAAAGGATTGCGATAGCAAGGGCGCTGGTGAGGGAGCCTGCTATACTTCTACTTGATGAAGCTACGTCAGCTTTAGACACGGAATCGGAGCATCTCGTACAGGTAAATATACCAAAAAATCAGCTTGTTAAGCAAACAAAGGGGTTTTACAAATTTTTCAACTTACCACCTACATAGGTGCACAAAATTCTTCCTGACGCGGAGGCTGTACTTTTAGGGATCCTTACATTTTTTCTTTCTGTTTTATTA